CAATGCCCAAATCTCGAACTCTGAACCCACAGCCCTAAACCGACATGCCCAAATCTTGAACCCCAGACCCTGTAGTTGCTGTTGCCAAAGCCCTAACGGGCCTCAAACCGCCAGACGCAAATCCTGACCCTAAACCCTACACCCGCCTAAACCCCCAAACGCTGAAGCCCTCAAGCCCAACAGTCCGCTGCCTTGAAGGCCGCAAAGGATGGTCGATGCAGTTGGTGCCCGGCCTGCATGCTTCGGTAATCAGGCGATGGGCAGGGGTTTGTTTTTCAGGGTTCACTGCAAAAGTAGTCGTTGTCGTCGTGGTGGTAGCGGCAGTAGCAGTGGCAGTAGCAGTAGCAGTAGGCAGTAGGCAGTAGGCAGTAGCAGTCGCAGCAGCAGCAGCAGCAGCAGCAGCAGCAGTAGCACTTGCAGTCGCAGTAGGTAGTAGATAGTAGGTGTCGTCGTCGTCGTCGTCGTCGTCGTCGTAGTAGTAGTAGTAGTATAGTAGTAGTAGTAGTAGTAGTCGCAGCAGTAGCAGTAGCAGTAGCAGTGGCAGCAGCAGTAGCACTAGGACTAGTAGTAGTAGTAGTAGTAGTAGTAGTAGTGGAAGAGGAGTAGTAGCAGTAGCACAAGGTGATAGTGGTAGTGGTAGTGGTGGTGGTGGTGGTGGTGGTGACGGTGGTGGTGGTGGTGGTGCTGGTGGTGGTTGTGGTAGTAGTACTAATTACTGGCAGTAGTAGTAGTAGTAGTAGTAGTAGTAGTAGTAGCAGTAGTAGTAGTCGTGGCAGCAGCAGCAGCAGCAGCAGGAGTGGCAGCAGTAGCAGTAGCAGAAGTAGCAGTCGTCGTAGTAGCAGTGGCAGCGGCAGGAGTAGCGGCAGCAGCAATGACAATAGCAGCAATGACAACAGCAGTAGTACTAAGAATGATGAAACAATGGCAAAAAACGAACAAAAGTAGAAGCAATGACAAGAGCAGCAAGAGCAACTAGTGGTACTGCTAGCAACAATCCATCAGTGTACTTCTGAGGACAACCAACCAACTAACACTGCGAGTACCAGTTGGACATACGCCCAGGAGACCATGCAACTTCCGGTAAATCACTGAATCCGCATGCATAGCATCTGTTTAGGTTACGAGTGGCACGAGTGACCATAGCAGCCAAAGTATAGTAGTCAAAGTGCAGCAGCAGTAGTTATAGTTGTGGGGTGGCAATCCTGGTCCTTGGTACTCCTCGCAAGACAGTTGGAGTAGCAATAACAGTAATCGTACCAGCACGAGTAATTATAGTGATGGTGGCGACGGCTCTACTGTATAAATAGCAACAGAAGTCTTGACAGACTTCGTTGTAGTAGCCTTAGCAATGGTGGCAGTTGGTAGCAGTATAACGATGATGGTGGTAATAGTGCTGGCAGCAAGAGGAGAATCTCAGCAATTGTAGGGTTGGAAGGTTTGGTAACAGCACAGCAAATATTAGCAGAATCTGCGGCAATGAGGTTCAGACACGTGATTGTTTCCTTATCCTGCCGAGCGAGACACTGCCGTTCTGGCCAAGTGAAGTCTGCAACCCTCTATCGGACAAAAAATCACCCTGCGTGGAGCTGATGATCTTGTTTGTATAGCCCCTTTCATGGTAGTGCAGTGCCGACCAGGGCTGCTAAATTTCTGCTGCCAACTTCGACGGCTTGACCAAGGCTCCTCAGCTATGTCAATGTCAGCACTCCAGAAGGACAAGGCCACCCTCCGGGGCTGCGCGTCGGAATGTGTCAGAAACACTCTTGTAGCGATCCACAGAATCACAACCATCATAAATCATAAACATATCAAAGTCGGACCGGGGCAGCAGCAAAGTTCCTACAGATTCAAAGCACGCAGAGAAAGGCTGGTGTGACCAGGTGTGCAGCCTAGATTCAGTTTCAGGCATACCAGACCTTCATGCAGATCGGTCAGGCAGCGCAGGCGCCTGCAGATGCGAGCCGGCGGATGTGCACAATTGAATGGAAGCCCACATCCTGTCGATGCCAGGCACACGCAGCAGAGGCTCGGCGCCTGCATGCCGCTGCGGCAGAGATCCAGGTGCATGAGTTGGGCTCGTGTGGGCTTGGAACAGAAGCCGCGCAACTTAGCTCTATTCACAAGAGTCAAGAGAGAACTCTTGCAACAAGGGAAGGGAGCTGTCGTTTCAAACCGGAAAACAGGCTGCTCACCTGGCCGACGACGCCCCGTACTACATGAATCACACGGGCATCGGACCTGGTTAATCGGCAGTGCACCAGTCATCAACCTGAACGATCTAGGCCGAGTGTATCTGCCCGGTTTCGGACCCCAGCAAGGTCTGGACACCATGAGCATGCACGGGCAAGAGGCTCCGTGCAGGGACATCTGATGGACACCGTGAGACAGAGAGGCATCTTGAGAAGACATTGTTGTCAACAGCTGCTGGCTCAATAAACAAACGGTCGGCCCCCATTGGGCTGGGGATGGCCCGTTGCGCCGATCCGAAAGCGCACCAATGGGCCTTGCAGCAGACAAGTTTGCAAGAGAGCCGCAGTGATCAGCTGTGAGCCGTGAGGAATGCGGGCCCCGGGATTGCATGGATTGCGCTTGGGCAGAGAATGCGACGCAGTCGACGAATGCAGAGTCCCCGCAATCGTTGTCTCTGCGACTGCATGCTTGGCGGCGGAAGCCACGCAGGGCCATTCGCGCCTTAAGTGCTGGCTGGGTGGATGCTTGCAAGATTCTTCAGGCTCTCCTGCAGGGCGACGTTCAGACAAATGTGTTTCACTTCAACGCGGTGTTGGGTGCTGTTGGTCGGACGCAGCGATGGCCGCGGGCACTCCAGATGCTGTGCAGCATGCTACATGCAAAAACTGCCGACTTGGTCAGTCTGAACACCGTCATTCATGCCGGCGAGAAGAAACAGTGGCAGATGGCGCACTCACTCCTCTGCTTGCTGCAAGATCTCGGTGGTGTACCAAACACCATCAGCTACAACAGCTGTATTAGTGCATGTTATGGCGTCGCTTGGCCCCGTGCTCTGCATCTTGTGGATTCGATGGTCTCTTGCACCGCAACCCTTGCCCCCAGGCTGCACGTCAACATAGGCTCTGCGCCACAGGCCTATGCAAAGGACGAGACTTCGCGAGACAGTATCCGAGGATGTGATTACATACAACTCTGTCGGCCGTGTATGTGGCATCGGCGACTGGAAACGGATCCCCTGCCGCAAGTCAAACAGCAGTTCGAGGGGCTTGAGCTTTTGTACTTCCAATCTTAATGAGAGCGAGAGTATAGCAGCCCTCGCTGTTAAGGTCAGCAGCTTTTTTGCAGAAGCTGACGTCGAAGGTAATCTTGCCAGATGCCATCAGCTACAACACCGCTTCCAGCTTGCAATCATTCGGAAGTGAATTCAATGTGGGCACTGCAAGTATTGCCTCCAATTGCTAGGTTGCAAACTCTCTGGAAGACGGTCGCTGGAGCCGGGCCTTGGCAAATCTACCTCGCATGCGGCGGGCTGCCTTGCGACCCAGCTCGGTGTCCTTTGGCACACTCATGAAGCTTTGCAAGGAGCATGGTGAGCCTACAAGGGAGTAATAGTAATGAGCAATGGGACAAAGGCGTCTAAGACTCTAGGAGTGCAAATTGCAAAGGGCTTAGGCTTAGGCTTGTGCGATTCCTAGTTAGGATTGCGAATCCTTCGCAGCCGTGAGCTCTGGGAAGGACTGGGAGCTGGCATTCGGCACCTTGGCAGTCATGCGCAGTGCCGCAGTTCCGTTGACCATCGTGGTGTCTGGGAGCGCAATCGCAGCTTGCTTCAAGCACGCGCTGTGGACAGCTGCTTTGCAGCAGCTCGCCACACCGGGACGGCGCGATGCCTCAGAGGTTGTTTGCCACCCGGCAGACTGAAGGGCTATGATGGCGTTCTTGTTCCCCATCCTGTCCTCCTTTCCCTGTGTAACCAGGCTACAATGCTGCCATGACGGTTTGTGGGCAGTCCCAGAAGTGGAGAGCGGGACTTCGACTATTTCAGAGGATGGGGGAGTGTCGTCAGAAGGAAGCTCGGAGCAGAAACGCTTCGCCTTAGGAGCTTAGGAGGTTTCTGAGCTTCGCCCCGGTGGTCCCAGCCTCCCCGAGCCCAGGAGACTGCCGTCACAAAGTCCGCTTTTTTCCTGGTGGCCGGGGAGCGGCTTGGCCGCTGGCGCCAGGCTGTGGACAAGGGCCTGCGCAGGATGAAAGGCACCACAGCCCTGGCACCCAGGATCATTGCATGCAGCAGCCTCCGGGCCATTCTTCAGTCTAGCTTTTCTCCGTTCTTGCGCCAGTCATACTCTACCTTCTGATGGTTCGGTTTTGTTGCCTCGGCTTTGGTGAAGGTGCCCTGGGAGCCTGTGAAGACTCCGAGAGGTGGGCAGAGGCTTTAGATGTCCTTCGGGGTATGAAGACAGATGGCCTCTCGCCAAATGTCTTCAGCTACAGCAGTGCAATCAGTGCCTTGGAAAAGCGTGCACGGTGGGTTCTGTCACTGCATCTCTTGGACCGGATGGAGGATCAGGGCGTGGCACCCAACGAAGTCAGCTACAGCGGCGCCGTGGGTGCTTGCGAGAAAGCTGCCTCTGGCCGTGCAGCTCGCAGATCGCAGACTCCGTAGCATTAGGTAGGTCAGGTTCTTGGACAGCGGGGACCACGGCGAAGAGCCGTTGCACCTGCTGAAGTGTACACGGCTGCGGTGCCAGTGTCACTTTGGCTTGGGGGACGCGTCCAATTTTTGGCGCTGCATGCAGAAAAGCTGCGATCTGCCGAGCCGTCCCTCCGGCTTCTCGTGTCGTGATCCTGCCAACCAGGACTTGCAAGCTGAACTACCAGAACGCTTCCTACCTTTGGATCTAGGCCGGCATCGCTCCGTCGAAGCGTCGCATTTGCATGTGCTGCGTGTGCGGGGGGGGCTCATGGCAGGCCAGCTTCTTGGAGCCTGGAGCCCGGTACCGGCGGACTGCTGGAATTCACGGAGCTTGTTGTGCCGAGGTTCAGGGTTCGCTGGGTCCACAGCCCAAACCGCTTCGGTCAGCGGACGGCTCAGCTTTGCACGCATAGAGTTGTATGCACAGGCTCCATGAGGCGCTGCCCCCTGGGAGCTGCGCCGCGCACAGCATCCCTTGGAGCCCGTTACTTCAGGTCGCGTCTGCAGCCGGGCGCCTTTGCTCCCTTGCTGGTCAAGATACGGAGGCCCGCCACAGCCGCCAAGAGCAATAGTACTAGGAATCGTTCAGAAATGGTTGTAGTGTGTGGCAGGCGTAGTGCCGTCAAAAGCATGGAATGCCAATAGTGGCCGATAAAGCTGCGTTCAAACACCATCGCCAGTCTTGATTTGTATCCGTGAAGGCTTTTGGTTAGGTGAGCGCATGTCGTGACACTCACGGATTGCGAAGTCTAGCAAGTCTGTTTGTGGTTAGCATCAGGAGATGCAGCCAGAGGCCGGGCACCCAGTCTGAGCAGATGATGTGATGGCAACCAGCAGAGGGCCTGCTAACATCTGCTCTTGTCTTCTCATGCGAGCCTCCTTGGCTTCGCTAGTCTTGTCGGCAATACTGTAGCGGCATGGAAGAGGTCAAAAGCTGTGCTGTCCCAGGTGGTTCCCCTTGCACCGCTGAGCCGGCCTCGTGCAGATGAGCCTGCTGCGGTCCCAAATTTAGGGCTCATATGTTCTGGTTCAGCTCAAGCCAGTCAAGCCGAGGTTCAGATCAATCTGCACAGCTTGCGATCTCTGAGTGGCAACAACCTGGTAGGGATGGCCGAGGACTGCAGACCTGCAGTCGGATCGAAGCGTAAGTGCAGAGTTTGCGTCGTAAAGTTCTTGATGCTTGAGCAGATTCCTGCAGGCCTATGAAGCTGGCACAGCCCTAAACTGGGCCTAAACCCTAAAGCCCCACTTCTCTGGTCCCTGAGGACACAGACAATGATGGTCTTGGTTTGCAGCGGCCTTTCAGAGCAGTCCAGAGTTCCCCAAACTAAAAGTACGGTTTTGGGTTTAGGGTTTAGGGGACTTTAACCGGAACAGCCACTTGTAACAGTGTAAGCGTAGCACAGCGTCATAGCAAAGCCTGCATAGTGACGCTACTCGGCATACTGCTATGACAATCTTGCACGTACTGCTACGGCTTCTGCTGCTGCGACTACTATTGCGAATACTATGTTGCATACCGCAATGATTTCACTCTTGAAGTATTTCTGAAATATGCCTGCCCTGCCAAACCGACATCGAAATCAACGCTGAAATATCCCTGCAAAACCAGGAGAATTTAGTGACAAAGGCAAGTTTAGCGATTTTCAACCAGTGTCAAGACTAACAGTGACGAACAACAAATCCGGAACAGATCGTCAGAAATCCCGGCACCGGCTGCTGTGGTTCCAGACCAGCGGCCGCAACTCCACCCCAGTCCAGCCCTGACCCGCAAAGCAGCCCAAGCTCCAAGCCACAGTAGGGTTTTAGGGTTTAGGGTTTCAGGGATTAGGGTTTAGAGTTTAGGGCTATATGGTGTGATTCTGATGGTCACTGCCCTGGCTTGGGGCACGTTTCTGACATGTCGTGGCTGTTAGCCAGTACTTCGATGGTTCTGGTGGCTTCCTGAGGCCTGCGGAGAGCCGTCCGTGGATGCACAGCAGGTCACGCCTGTGGCAGGGGTGGTATAGAATTTTGCGATCTGCCAGCCTGTGTCCAGCTTGGGTGAGCGTCAGTAACATCGATACCATCACGGCTTTTTTTGAGTCAAGTCCGATTACAAACCGAGACCCTGCAGCTCGTAAGCTGCCTCGCAACATCCAGCACCCTAACCCCAAGTCTATGCATGCCTTGAGCTGCCATCTCGTAACTGATCACCTCTGGCGCTTTCCAGGAACCCGTCCCGAGACCTCGTGTCCTTCCAGGAGAGCCCAGCGCCAGCTAAGGCCTCGGAGCACAGGTGACCAAAGATAGTGACTGCGGTGGGTCGAATGGTGCATAATAGTGTTGTCAATGATGTTGATCACCGTCGCCACCATCGCCATCACCATTGTTAGCATCATACGACACAGTGGTCAGATGCATAAACACTAACCGAACTGCCACTAATCGGCTAGACTTACGGCTTCCTGAGCCCTAGGTACCAGTGTTGGCATGCGGAGCTCATCGTGGTGATCTCTTGTGCACATTACGAGTATTTCTGTTTCTAAGGAGGGGGCGGTGCAGCAGGGGGCAGTACAAAAATACTGATGCAACGATGTTGCCACAAACATGTACCCACAGTACATGATGCCGAGGGTCGATTCTGGGGGTGGGGGGTCGTCCTTGTGTTTTCCCGCTAGTTGCTGCTTTTGCTTATCGATTTGCTTCTTCCTCTTCACATGATCATCATCACTGTTGCCATTGCGATTGGTGTTGCTAGAATTAACCTGTGCCTGGGGTGGGTGGTAAGAGCTGCGTGGAAGAATCGCTGTGAGTTTCTCTTCGAGTCCCTGCTCTTAAATGTTCCTGGCCTCTGTGGCCTTTTCCGACCACTGCTTGGCTCTGTCGCAAAGGTGGGAATGCCCAGGATGGTTCCATCACAGGCAGCATGCTCAGTACAGACGAGTGGACATGCTGCTGTAGCTGCAGCCTTTTCCTCTAGGCATTGCTTGGACAACTCAGGTCATTCCGGGACCTACCAAAATTAACATACCCAAGGCGCCCAGCGACTTCTTCTAATGTTTCTGACACTCTGGATGATGCTGCGCATGTTTGGTGAGCAAACCCATGCTCCAATGAGACGAAACGTGCCGGGTAACTTCTGCTTCTGTCAGGATGTTGATGTTACCAGTGTGGAGGAGTTCTGGCAGCGAAGGCACACACTGCAATTGACGACTCGGTGGCGCACATGGTTTATGACGGCTGATAACTTCCAAGAAGCGATGCCTTGCCAAGTAGATCTCGGGGTGCTTGTCCCTTAATCCCTCTCCTGTCAAAGCTGCCTGCTGCGTCTTGCAGGGAGGGCCCTCGCGGAGTCAGCTGGGGCCCCAGGTGCAATGATCCATGGATGCTCAGGAGAAGTCTCATCCTGACCCGCTCTTTTGTTCTTCCATGGACCGTACCCACAGAGCTAATCAGGCGACATCTTCTCCCTGGAGCAGTTGGTGCAAGACCACGCAGCATCTTGGCCCTTGCCAGGTTTGCAGAATGGTGGCTCTTACCGTTATTACGACCAGAACTACTCAGTACTACCCGGGCGCTACTCAGTATTACCAAGGCGTCCTCTCGTCACTATGGTGGTGTCAGGTTTTTTTAGTTCGGTTTCAGCATTCTTATCGTCGTCGCCATCACGAGCATTGCACTGTTGTAGTATCTGCTGTTGTTGTGTCACATTATCATTGGTCCTGCTATTGTCCTTGGCTCTGTTGCTGGTACGTTTCATTATGACTTATGAATTTCTGTGCTGGAGGTAACCTCTGTGAGCTGAATGGCCTCCTGAGCTGAAGCTCTTGTGCAGACGCTGTAATACTGTTCCACTGCTCCGGCACGTCTCCCATGCATTCCTGTTTCTTCATGTGGGGATGGCCTGCCTCCGCCTGAGGCTACAAGTGCTTTTTGGGGGTAATTTGCGAACTTCTTTGCAGCAGGCAGACCCGCCCCATACGAGCCGTGGCACCAAGAACATGGCTTCTAGGTTTTCCCCGCTTTTCCACTAATTCTGACGATTTTCTGACCGATTCATTATGTTTCCTATGTTATCAAGGATCACTGTATGTCATTTGCTATAGTCATTCTGGATTTTTCGCTCTCTGGTTCTTCCTGGTTTTCCGGTTTGATCGTGATTTGCGGGCCCTGCACCTGCGATGGTGGTCTGTTTGGCGCAGACTGCACGTCGTGGCAGGAGTGGCGTCAGTTAATGTCTGTTTAAGTGACAGTGAAGCTGCCTCACTGCGATGCCCGTGTACAGAGATATCGGTGATATCATCATCGAGCGGCCTTGCCAACAGGCAGAGCTATACTCCCATTTTTGCTATAGAGGCCTTCTTATGCAACGACTCACGGCTCACGAAGCTGCAAGGGATGACGCACGATGCATGGACAAATCGTCCTTGTTGAGGTGCTGCTGTTGCTGCTTCTTGCCGCTCCTCCTGCTGCTTGCTACTTACCACCAGTACGACTTAATACTGAATTCGAGTAGAGAATGCTAAGTATCACTGCTTTTCCAACGACAGCGGCAACAACGACTACTGCTGCTGCTGCTGCCGCTCCCTGCTCACTGCTGCCACTGCTACTGCTAGTGCTCTGCCAATGCTTCTGCGACTGCTACGGCTGCTACGCCCGCGACAACAGCTACAGCAACAGCACCAGCACCAGCACCACCGCCACCGCTACCGCCACCGCCATGACCATCAACAACAGACACAACCACAACAAGCACAACAGCAACAGCAAAAGCAACCAGCAGCCAGCAACCAGCAGCCAGCAACCAGCAAGCAGCAAGCAGCAACGGCAACAGCAACAGCAGCAACAAGAAGAAGAAGAAGAAGTGCTGTTATTACGACCACCACCACCACGACCACGACGACGACGACGACGACGACGACGACGACTGCTACTGCTACTACTGGTGTACCACTACGAAGACGACGACGACTACTACTGCTACTACGACGACGACTACTACTACCACTACTACCACTACCACTACCTATACTACTACGACGACGACGCTACTGCTAGTACTACTGCTACTACTACTACTAACACTCCAAGTACCACCACCACCGCCACCGCCGCCGCCGCCGCCCCCACCACCACCGCCGCCGCCGCCACCGCCACCACCACCACCACCACCACCACCCCCACCACCACCCCCACCACCGCCACCACCACCGCCCCCACCATCGCCGCCCCCACCACCGCCGCCCCCACCGCCCCCACCGCCCCCACCGCCCCCACCGCCCCCACCGCCCCCACCGCCCCCACCGCCCCCACCGCCCCCACCGCCCCCACCGCCACCACCGCCACCACCGCCACCACCGCCACCACCGCCACCACCGCCACCCC